GGTTTGGCTCAGTGGACTGAGTGTCCTCCCAGGGACTAAAGGGTCCCGGGTTCGATTCCAGTCAGGGCACATGATTCTCTCCCATCATTGATGTTTCTATCTCTCTTTCCCTCTCCCTTCCTCTCTGAAATCAATAAAAAAAAAAAATTTAAAAAAGTTTTTATTAACATTACATTTCCTAAATATATTAATTCTGTTGTGGCTGCTAATTAGTTATGTGGCCATTAGGTGTGTTAGAGAATTAGGCACAGCATATGATCTGAGACAATGTCCTTGTTCTTCAGAGCTGTTTGCTGAAGTACTTGGGGAGGAAAAGTTATGATGCCTGCAACTAACTTTCAGGTGGTTCAGGAAAAATGTACCAATCTAGAGAGATACAAAAGCATGTGTGCCAAATGTGAACAACCAAGAACCAGATAGAAGGAGGACTCTATAGGGCCTGCTGGTGTGGCTCAGAGGTTGAGTGTCAACCTATGAACCAGGAGGTTCGATCCCCGGTCAGGGCACATGCCCGGGTTGCAGGCTTGATCTCCAGGATCTCGTGTGGGATGTGCAGGAGGCAGCCGATCGATGATTCTCTCTCAGCACTGATGTGTCTAGCTCTCTCTCCCTTTCCCTTCCTCTCTGAAATCAATAAAAAAAATTTTTTTTTTTTTTTAAAGGGACTCCACGTGCAGAAGCCCAGATTTTGGTGCCTGACTGGCTGCTGGGGCGAGGAAGAGGGAGGGAAGGTTTGGGGTGTACCTGGCAGAGGACGGGGCTGCCCCCTGGAAGAGGGGAGCTGGGGAAGAGCTGGCTATCAGGAGACAGATGCTGAATTTGTCCTGGGCAAGAGGCGGCGGGAAGAAACGAGGCGCTGGGAGGAAGTGAGGGAAATGCCTCCGGAAGCTGGAAAAATAGGAACAAGACTCAGGCCACGTGGTAGTTACCAAGGCAGTGCCCACCTAAACGGGTAACAAGTAGGAGACACGGGTGAGATCTCAGATAGAAGGAGAGGGAGAAGAGTGAGGTGAGAGATCACTGACGATAGAATTTACTGGTAGGAGGTGGGAGGAGAGTAAGAGAAAAGCCAGGAGGGGCCTATGTGACGGGATCAAGGCAGCATGAGGAGGAAGAAGGCAGCACTCCAGGGAATGGTCAATAGCACCAAATACAGCAGAAACATTAAAGGTGATGGCCGGCAATGGGGTTAAGAAATCAGGGAATTGTGCTTGGGCAGAAGTGGAAACCAGGCGAGTGGGCCCCAGAAAGGGAGCAGATGAAGGAGAAACGCAAGAGAGGGCGTAGACCACTCCCTCATTACAGTCCTCCTTAAATGAATGACAGAGATGGAACTCCAGTTGGAAGAGGCGGTAGAAGCATGGGAGATGCGGCGTTCCGGGGGAGACTGGGGAGATGTGTGGTTACAGGAAACGGAATCAATAAAGACACACCTTGGCGATGAGGCGAAGAAGCGAGATTGGTGTATGTTGGGAAGAGAAAGGACGGGGAATGACTATAAACTCCAGAAATGAAATGGAAGACAGTAAGAAGGGGAGAGAGAAGAGGGGAAGAGAGCAGCAGAAATAAAACAGGATATCAACACAGGAGCTGAAAAGAGAAATCCTGAGATTAGCCCTAGCTGGTTTGGCTCAGTGGGTAGAGCATCAACCTGCGGACTGAAGAGTCCCGGGTTCGATTCCGGTCAAGCGCACGTGCCCAGGTTTCGGGCTTGATCCCCAGTAGGGGGCGGGCAGGAGGCAGCCAATCAATGATTCTCTCTCATCACTGATGTTTCTCTCTCTCCCTCTCCCTTCTTCTCTGAAATCAATAAAAATACTTTAAAAAAAATCCCAAGATTAGAAAGTAACTATCTGCCAGGCAGCAGGACTGCCATCTCTGGTCCTCCCACGGGCCTGCTGCTCCAGCCACACCTGTTCGGGGTGATGGGGCCGCACCCAGGACAACCCCACGCACAGTGTAAAGGTCTAGGGCCCGATGGGAGTTCCTGACTTCAAGTGCAGAGAGTCTTCAGCTAAGAAGAATGGAGAGTTCAAGGTGGCATTCCAATGATCCCACCACGTGGCCTTTGCGTCTGAGTAAAGAAGATCACTTTCTCTTCTCGAAAGAAGATAGGGCTGAACCAGAAACGCTCTACATGAGGGCAGAGATAAGCTGGAAATCCCAGTGAAAGGAAGTCACCTGCCGGAAAACACCTTCAGGCAGTCTACAGGGGGCAGAGGGAGACTCCGCCTCCTCACATCCTCACGTTTCAGAAAGCCCAGGACACAGGGAGAGCAATGTCCTGATGTCGTAAGAACAATCCAACGTTACAGCTCTCCGGACTGTAAAAGAAACCTGCAGCGGTGTCAAAACACTGCACGGAACTTATGTGAAGATAAGACACATGAGAAACAACATTTTTATGGCCTCTTATTTCCTTTTAAAGCCATGTCCAGTGAAGTACTTGGGCCTCGAATTACTTTACTGCCCTAGCAGGCATCCTCACAAATATTTTAAAAATAACGTGAGAGTGATAAGGCAAAAGCTTACGATTATCTCAGGAGATAAGAGAAAAACTTAAAAAAAAAATTTTTTAGAGAGGGAGAGCAAGACAGAGAGAGAGAGAGAGAGAAAGAAACTGATGTGAGAGGGAAACATCGATCAGCTGCCTCCTGCACACTGCCTATCGGGGATCAAACCCACAACCTGGGCATGTGCCCTGACTGGGAATCGAACCAGCAACCAGGGTTCTGGAAGCCCTGTGAGGCTCGGGGAGCGCCAAGTCAAGTACAGCAAGTCCTCGTTTAATGTCAATGACAGGTTAACCCAACTTGAAGTGAAATGACGTCCATGAAACCACTGTACCATGGGCTGATCGATATGAACAACATCTCACCAATGTCATAGTGAAACGACACTGAACAAAAGGATGTTATTCAAAGGCCAGAAGGAGCCCTGACCGGTTTGGCTCAGTGGATAGAGCGTCGGCCTGTGGACTGAAGGGTCCCAGGTTCGATTCTGGTCAAGGGCATGTACCTTGGTTTCGGGCACATCCCCAGTGGGGGCTGTGCAGGAGGCAGCTGACCGATGTTTCTCTCTCATCGATGTTTCTAACTCTCTATCCCTCTCCCTTCCTCTCTGTAAAAAATCAATAAAATATTTAAAAACAAAAAAACAAAAAACAAAACAAAACAAAGACCAGAAGGAATGGGGCTCTGTGACTCCCTGGTACCAGGCTCCTTGTGGAGTCAGAGTCAAGGTAGATGCTGAGAGGAACTTTCCTGCATTCCAACAGCCAACCTTGAGAATGGCCAGCCTGCGCTAGCCTGCAGAGTGCCACCTGAGGGCCTGGGAGAGTGCACTGCGACTGAGAGGCCCCTGGACAGCAATGCTAGCAGTGAGGCATCTAACAACATCTGCCTTGCCCTCGCTGGTGTGGCTCAGTGGATAGGGCATCAGCCTGCAGATAAAGGGTCCTGGGTTCGATTCCCATCCAGGGCATGTACCTAGGTTGCAGGCTCCTCCCTGGCCCGGGCCCTGGTTAGGGCATGTGCAGGACGTAACCAATCAATGTGTTTCTCTCACATCGATATTTCTCTGTCTTTCCCTCTCTCTTCCACTCTCTCTAAAAATCAATGGAAAAATATCCTTGGGTGCGGATTAAAAAAATTAAAAAAATGAAAACATCTGCCTCATCAGGGTGGAAACAGAGTAATAAAGGATCATGGCTTAGCAACGAGCACATAGTCTCCTAAAAATCATTACCACCCTCCAAGGGCCAAGGATCACAGTGACAATCAGCTGAAGAAACACCAGGACCAAGCAAACCTGAGATGCACGGACTTCCACCAGCGAGCAGCACTGGGTGGGGCGTGTGCCAGGGGAATAAAACAAATGCGGCAGCTGCTGTCCCCTTGCTGGCCATCGCCCAAGTTTAATCTGGATCATGAGGGCGGAGGCCATGCCGGAGAACATGGACTACGAACCACTTCAATCCTGCCTGATATCAGCTTCCCTACAGAGCATCACATGACCTTAAACTACGTTAATGATGTCTTAGTCACTGCTTTACTGTTCAGGAACAGTAAAAATTTCACGAAGTCAAAGCCTCTGTCTCATGATTATTCGAAAGCTTCACTCTCACTGGACTACTGCGGGGAAACTCATTTGATAACCAACATAAATCTACTGATTTCACTTTCTAGGGCCATCACTGCCGTCTACCAGGAGGTCTGTCTGAAAAGCTGAACCATGTCACAGGCCCAATGGTAATCTCTGTGTGTTACAACTGGTAACAGATCTTTGCAAAATCCCCCCAAAACTATCACACTTCAGTTATTAAAGAAAAACCGGTTCTGCCCAGCTGACGTAGCCCAGTGGTTGAACGTCGACCTATGAACCAGGAGGTCACGGTTCAATTCCCAGCCAGGGCACATGCCTGGGTTGTGGGCTTGATCCCCAGTGCGGGGCGTGCAGGAGGCAGCGGATCCATGATTCTCTCCCATCACTGATGTTTCTCTCTCTCCCCGCCCCCTCTCCCTTCCTCTCTGAAATCAATAATATATATATATATATATATATTTAAAAAACAAACAGGTTCTAGGCCCAGCCGGTATGGCTTAGTTGGCTGAGTGGCACAAAAAAAAACATATTAAGAAAAAGCAAAACCAGGTTCTAGGAATATCCCCAGAGTGAAAAAAACACAAAAGAAAGCACATGAAGTGTAGAGGTGGCTGGGATGGACGGGGCTCTTGGCTTTCTGGGGTTCGATTCCGGTCAAGGGCATGTACCTTGGTTGCGGGCACATCCCCAGTAGGGAGTGTGCAGGAGGCAACTGATCGATG